AGAGAGAGAGAGAGAGAGAGAGAGAGAGAGAGAGAGAGAGAGAGAGAGAGAGAGAGAGAGAGAAAAGAGAGAGAGAGAGAGAGAGATGGGGAGAAAGAGAGAGAAACAAAAGAGAGAGAGAGAGAGAGAGACAGAGAGAGAGAGAGAGAAAGAATGAAACACTACGGACGAGATCTGGGAAGTCTTGTTTTCAGAAGCGTATCAGTAGGGGAAGAAGAAGTATTTACGTGGAGATCTAGGTAGAGCTGCAGCACTGCACTACAGCGCGAGCATCTGACAAAATTTGTCGTGCTCCAGAGTGCCGTTATTTCTAGTCTGTCTGTTTTTTGCCGGTACCCGTATCTGTTTTATCCCTAGCCTTCTTGTGGTCGAGGTACCCCGGCCAAATAGCCCTTGGGCCTAAACCAAGCTCCCAAATATCAGCCCAGTCATCAAAGAACCCGTCACTTTCCCTGGATACCTCCCACGCCCCCTTAAAGAACATGAAATTAGAAAACCCCTTCAGTCGCAATTCTCTTCTTAACGCGAACAACATCAAAGTCTTCTTAAATATCGGGGCGAATGATTCTTCACCTTTTTTTTTTTTTTTTTTTTTTTTAAAACAACTCCTACCTGTGATAGTGGTGCTGATAAGAGCGGACACCACTATCACCTTGGGAGAGGCTCCGTCTATTGGTGGGGAGCAGCACCTGCTGAAAAACGGGTTCAGCGTCTCTTTAACAGAATGAACTTGATCCATACCAGAGTACAGATTATTGTGTTGATCACTTGTGCCTCTTCACCCCCAACAGGGCGCCTGAAAAGACAGTTCCTCCTAGCACAGTATCAACCACTTATGGAATCATTCATGACCATACCATGGTCTGGGAACTAAACATAGATTTATGGAATCATTCATGACCATACCATGATCTGGGAACTAAACATACATTTGATGGAGGGAAAGGGTCAGGGAAGTCCGTCAGGGACCTTAGTGGACAGGCTGAGTCAACTTCAGTCCAATCATTGAATGTCAAGCGGTAATTCCTTTGAAACTTATTTTGATCATTCTGATAATTTCCTTGAGCTCCCTCCCAAGCCACCCGCCCTAGCCTCCCTCCCTTGTCCCCCCAAAGCCAGCTTTGATTAAATGATGTAATGTGTTGCAGGATTTTTTTTTTCTGTGAGAGATACGATATTTTCTCTTTAGTTTTTCTCATTTGGTAGTAATCTTTGTTTCTACATGTTGCTTGATAGTTTCAGTAATTTTTTGTCCAACCAAGCGTGGTCCTTCTATTTCATAAGTGCATCTTCGTGTCCATATTGCCCAAATATTTTCTCTCCTTCCACCTGTAAATAGGTTAAATGTGAAATCACCAATCTAATAGGGATTCCAGGTTTCCAGGAGCAGTGTCTTCCAGTCCCAAGGCCATGAAAGGGATGTTCCCAAATGATTCCAGATTCGATCCCACCAACGCCATAGCCAAACTGATCCTGGGCATTGAAGAAAAATGTGCTCTAATATTTCCGGGATTAGTTTGGAAGGGAAGGCTGATTTGCAAAACTTACACCACAGGTGAGCTATTAACATAGGATTCGTGAAAACCCAACAACACGGCAAAACCCAACATTTTGTATAGAGTGAAATACTAAAAGTCAAACAACTGTATCTGATTAAAAAAAAACAGCGTTTCGAACCTTTTCTCGAGAAGCGAGGCCAAAAACTGAGCAAAAAGTAAAATGATTGAAAAAATGTCCAGGAAAATCATTTACATCAAAGATCCTGTTATAGGACTATAACTCATTTTCAATAGACCGACAAAAAGCATAGCTTCGATAAAACAACTGCAAGGCAAAATCGAAAGCTGTAAAAAACTCAGTTCTAGTGAATACTCGTATATAGGACTATACGCCGTTTTCAACACATATTGGCCAATATGACAATTTTCAAGTTAGTATTAGAATCCTTGTCAAAAAATTATATGTTATGTAAAATAATAAAACAAACAACTTTTGCCTCGAAGACACCTTCAAATTCTTAGTCAAAATCAATTAAAAAAAAAAAAAAAAAAAAAAAATCTTAAAAAAAAAAAAAAAATCATTTGAAAAAAAATATGTTTCCCACCAAAAAGAGAACATGTTTGAGCGAACGTAGTTGCAAGCAAGATAACATATTAGTCTGTTCACAAAACCCCTGAACATGTTCGGCGTGCTGCACGACTTATAGGACTATACACATAATCTTTTGAGATAATAAAAAAAATGCATATTTCAATTTCTTACTTAACTGTGATTCAATTGGTAGTGATTTTCTGTGGAAAATCGTGTGTGCTTTTCCTCACCACTTCTAGTGGTTGTCAAAAAGTACCTTTTTATTATGGTTGTTTTACTTCATGTGAAATCTTGCTCGTGCAGGAGGCCTAAATATTATATTTTTATAATCTTTAATAAATTTCGTTCAAACCCAACATTTTTTTGTTGGGTTTTCACGAATCCTATGTTTATTCCTCTTTGTTCTAGTGAGGTTCTATCTATAATCCAATCATTTGTGGGAAGACAACGATGGGCAATCTGCCACTGCAGAGATGCTACCTTGGCGGGCCGAGATTTAATAGAGAAACACCATTTAACTGATTGCAACACTTCCTTGCTTACATTTAGATTTTTCATCCACCGGGCTTCTATTCGATCTTTTATGTTTACTTTTGGGCGAAGCATCCTATAGGTAGATTTAACTGATAATTTATGAACCGATGTAGAGTAGAAGTGTCCTCTTCCCCTCGAACTAGACTAGGTCCAGTTTAGAGGATCAATTGGTAAGTGAAAAATGGGTGTATCTGGCTTAAAAGCTAACCATTTATCGTGGATCTCTAACACCCTGATGCGAAATACGTGATCACCTTTGAACACCTCAATATGTTCTTGTGTTCTAGGTTTAAGGAAACCATCTGCTTGCACATCAAAAATCGAGAGAAGGATGTCCCTTTCATTGGAGATTCCAACTATTTTACCAACTACCCCCTGATCTGCCTTGATGGACACTGAATCGTTGACGACTTCACCTAGTTGGGATGGTCAGATCAATGCCGCGAGAACAGTTGCCCTCGCAGCTTGAACGACCACGGTGACCCCAATTAAACGGAACTATCGGTCATTCCGCCTCTCTCGATCCTTCCGGAATTTCCTTCTTTCCTCTGTCCTGCTCATCTATACCCCTTTGCTGCCTGCGCCCCGCGCTGGCACCCCACCGCCTTCTGCACTATAAATTCTTGCAGGCCCTTCCTCTGCCTCTCTTTGATCCCGGCTGCAATGTTGTGCGAGTTATGCGTGACGACCATGGTCTCGGATAGGCTCGATGTGCCCAAGTGATGGGCAGGGTGACGATGTGGGGTGGAATTAGCGATAGACTTGGGGTGAGGCGGTCGGAGGGGCAGAGCGGTGGTGGAGATCGAATGCCACCAGTGGCATGACCTTGTGGCTATGGTTGGTTGATGTTTGGAGTGGTTGGGGGTTGTGCCTGAGGGAGGCCAGCCATGGGGGAATTTTGAATAGCGAAGGATTCGCTTTTGCCTCCATTGTTGCTTTGTCCAAGTGTGGTGTGTGTAGTAT